AAAAATCTATCATGTGATTTCCAACATCCTTTATATTACCAAAGCCGTATTTTCCTACTACTTATCTTCCTCTTTGTTTCCAACCTTTACATTGTAATCACCAGTAATTATCAATACATCTTGATTGCATGTTTGATCAATTTCAGATGGAAGAAGCTGGTAGAATTCTTCTATTTCATCATTACTAGCTTTAGTGGTTGGTTAAAAATTTTTAATAATAGTTGTATTAACTTGTCTTCCTTGTTGTTGTGGTTAAGTGCTGTTGAGTTGGCTCTGACTCATAGTGACCCTGTATAGGGTTTCTGAGGAACAGCTAGTGGGTTTGAACTGCCGACCTTGAGGTTTGCAGTACAGTCCTGATCCTACAGCACCACACGGGGAGTCCTGTCTTCCTTGCAGGTGCATGGATATTATCCTATCACAGACAGCATTATATTCCAAGAAAGACCTTGAAATGTTCTTTCTGATGATGAATGCAACACTATCCCTCTTCAATTTGTCATTTCTGGCAGAGTAAACCACGAGATTGTCAAATTCAAAATGGCCAATACCATTCCATTTCAGCTCACTAATACATAGCATATCGATGTTTATGTGTTCCATTTCAGTTTTGACAATATCTATATTTCCTAGATTTATACTTCTTATATTCTGTATTCTGATTATTAATGTATGTTTGAAGTTGTTTCTCCTCATTTTGAGTTGTGCCCCATCAACAATTGAAGGTCGTGAAAGCTTTACTCCATTCGTATTATCCAGATCAACTCTATTTTGAGGAGGCAGCTCTTTCCCAGTCATATTTTGTGTGCCTTCCAACTTGAGTGGCTCATTTTCTGACATTATATCTTACAGTATTCTGATTCTCTTCATCATGTTTCAATATTCAATATTCTGGTGCTATCTGATAGTGTTCTACTGCTATTCATAAGGTTTTCTGTGATTAAATATTCAGAAGTAATCTGTCTATTCTTCTATATAGTTTGTCTTCTTCTGGATTCTCAGTTGAAACTGTCCACCATGGGTGACCCTGATGCTATTTAAAATACCCATGGCATAGCTTCTGCAATCACTGTAACACTCAAACCATCACAGTATGACAAACTGAAAACAAGTGTTGGACTCACTACATATATCACTGAAATATTTTAGGAATTGTATCATATTTTTAAAAAAATTACAGAGGGTCATAGTAATGTTGGAGTCCTGGTGTAGTGCTGTGGGTTAATGTGCTGGACTACAAAGTCAGTTTGAAAGGCAAGGTCAGTGGTTCAAGTTAACTAGCTGTTCCTTGGAAACCCTATCTAGGGTCACTAAGAGTCAGAACTGATTTGATGGCACTTAACAACAAAATAGTAGTGTTGGACTCCTGGTATGGTGCTGTAGGTTCAGCAGTGGAATGGGAATCACAAGGTCAGCAGTTCAAACCCAGCAGCTGCTCCTTGGTAACCCTCTTTCAGGGTCACTATGTGTCAGAACTGACTCTACAACACTTAACAGCAATATAGTAGCATTATAAAAAAAGAAAAGATAGCTCTGCCTTAATTCCTCCCCCTAGTATAATGGCCTTTCACTCTGAGGTCAGGCTCTTGCTGTGGTGTCATAGGGTAAGCACTGGACTGCTAACTTTAAGGTTGGCTGTTCAAAGCTACTAGTTGCTTTGTCAAAACTCTGTATAGGGTCCTTATTAGTAGGAACCAAGTTGATGGCACTTAACAATAACAACAACTTTGAGATCATGTAATCATGTAATCCTCACTTAATTCTTGAACAAATCAAAACCTATTAGCAAGATGGCAGGAAGTATGGAAATGACCATTGCCTACTACAAATGACTAACAGTTTTTCCATAAATCTGGACTTAGTATATAGTCCTATTTTTTAGACTTCCACCTTAATGTTTTAAGATCTAGCAATTACAAGCTATCAGGTGGTCTGCTTGTAGTATGCTCTTGGTAATTCCCATCTCTTCACTCTAAAACACCTCACTGCAATTCACTGCTTCTTATTACTCCATTTGTCCACTTCCTGGCTTCTAGTTCCTCTTCAAAACACTGCTCAGACATATTTAAGCTTTCTCTTCAAAATAAAATTATACAGCCTTTATTCAATTCTGTTTTTGGCCTATGTTTATACTTTAATTATGGTAAATGACTGTTATTTTGACTTGTATCTGAAGTGAAGCAGATTTAATTTCCCTAGGCTCCTATTTCTCCTGATCTTTAACAGCAATAACGACAAATATGCCTTCAGGAATCATTATGTACCATCAGTGACCACAAAGTGAGAAAAATTAGGGCCATTATAGACTGTTGCTTTGTTGTACAGTGGCATCAGTTCAGACTCATAGTGACCCTGTATAGGATTTCCAAGGAGCAGCTAGTGGGTTTGAACTGCCAACCTTGTGGTAGCAGTTCAATGCTTATCCTATAGCACACACCACACCACACTAGCACTTGAAAAATACTTCATACTTCCATTAGCGATTCTGACCCATGGTGACTTCTATGTGTGCCAAAACAGAACTGTGCTCCACAGCGATCTCAATGGTTGGTTTTATGGAACTAGATGGCCAATCCTTTCTTCGGAAGCACCTCTAGGTTGACTAGAACTTCCATCCTTCTGGTTGGAGCTCAACACATTAATCATTTGCACCACAAAAATGATTTTCTTAGGTGCCCCACACGATCATTCCATGTTATAGGACTTGTCTATGAAGTTAACCACAGCCACTTGTTACTTGTGGTGGTTGTGAGCTGTGGAGTTAGTTACCACTCACAGAGATCCTATATAGGGGTTTCCAAGCTGTACATCTTTATGAGAGCAGAAAAACATCTTTCTCCTGCATAAAAGCTGGTAGATTCGAACTGATGATTTTGTGGTTAGCAGCCCAACTAGTAACTCACAACTAGGGCTTCTGGTTAATTAATTCAACTCAAAAGAAAGCTAGGGTTTTTGTTTTTTCTTTTTTAGGTTGTTGTTGTTAAGTGCTGTTGAGTCAGTTCCGACCCATAGCAACCCTGTATAGGGTTTCCTAGGAGCAGCTGGTGACCTTGAACCTGGAAAAATGTGACACTGCTTTCTTGGGTAAATCATATTGACAAATGATTGCTTGGATTTACTTTCCAAAACAAAAGCAGAGGTCTGAGGATCTCACTGGGATTTTAGGTTGTTTTCAGTGCACTGAGAAGGGACCTCCTTGTCAAAGGTTGGACTCTGGCAAATTAACCCTGCCATCACGGATCTCCCCCTCAAATGCACCATGGCTAGAGGCAGGAACTCTTTTGGGGAGGCTAGGGAGCTGTGAGTAAATGTTTTGCACTGCTAGGTTGGTTTGAACCGCAAGATTGACAGTTCAAGCTCACCAGCCACTCCTTGGAAACCCTAAACAGGGTCGCTATGAATTGGAAATGACTCAACGACACTTAACAACAAGAAGTGCTTTAAAGGAACCATCTAGAATTGAAATCCTATAGGAACACACTTTTAAAAGAAGGAAGTCTCGAATCCTGGTTGAATACTCAACCGAAAAAGTAATAACCCAAGGGTCCTCAACCTCATTGCACACCCCTTCTTGAAACAGACCAGGTTACAACTACACTTCCCAGAATGCCTAGAGGCGGGGTGGGATCTTTTTTTTTTTAAACTTAGGTTGGTTCGCGGCCCTTGTGATTTGATTCTCAACTCCAGTCCCTTGCTGTGACGCTCTCCTCTACCTGAGCGTGATTGGTTCGGTAGTCGTGGGAAGTCACTGGCGAGTAGTTGAATGAAGTCTTTCTGCCCCTCGGTCTCTCGGTACTTGAAGTCTGTCCTCTAGTCTGAGGCGTGCCTTCTCTGGCCGCTTCAGAGTAAACGGACAACATTTCCCAGAAGGCAGCAGGACTACCGGGTGGCATGGGGGTGGAGCCCCACGTCTAGTACAGTCATCCCAAGCTGTTTTGGTGGGATTGTGATGGCCGGAGAGATGACGATTTTAGGTTAGTGACTCTGAGCTCCATGAGGGTATTGCGGGCACTAGGGAGGTCTGGGGTGACCATAGAGGGAGGGAATGGTTGTCGTACTTTGTGGATCCAGCTGGCCCAGCTGCAGGGGGGCCAGTAAGATGACTTCGAAGCAATTGTTGGCTGTTCAAGAAGGGGGAGGGGGCCTTCCTAACAGGACTCAGGCTGGTTCAGGCCCAAGTATATGGCTTTCAGGGGCAACCAGCTGCATACATCCCAGGATCATCGGGTGTCGAGAAGCCTATTTCCCTAGAGAACACCGGTTTTGAATTATTGTTTTAATTGGGGCCGTGGGATACTGCAAAACGTACAGGTCTAGGACCCCGTTGTGGGTGGGGTGGGAAGCAGCACCAACACTCCAAACTGAGCTGCCTATGCGGTATTACAGGGAACCCAGCCCCTTTAATGTGTAGCTTACGCTCTTTTTACCAAACCAGGTTGGACCATACCCTTCCTGGCTAAGAAAGTGGCGAAATGCTTCTGAAATTTTGCCCATAGGAAGAATAAGAAAGTGGGGTTGGCGCTTGGTTTCTTTTTATTTTGTATTGAAGAGGGTGAGCTAAAGAAACACACACTCATACAAATTGTTGATGTTTGGGTTTTATGTAACATGGGTGGGCACAGGT